TCACTCTTTCAATAAATGGTGTTCAATGCTATGACTCGGGTATACACTATGCATATAGATGTATAATTCTTCATGAACTTGGCGCAGATCGAGAGGTAAGTAAAGGTATTTACGAAGCTGCTCTTTATTATAAGGACGCTGTGGATAAAGATGATCATGATGGATCAGGATTTAAATCTCGTGCTTCTCGTTTTGCTAAAGGTAAATTATGTAGAATGTTTTCTCATTTAGATTATGATATGGCGCGTCAAAACCAGCTCTTAATTCCGCATAGTGACGTGATCTGGACAATATACAAAAATTCAGATGAATTTCTAATCCATACTCCAAAATTTCGTAACGCTGCCTCATTAGTAGATAACACACATACTTACAGACTTCGTCTTCATGACATGAGGATTTTTGTTAAACAGGTCGATTTAAGTATGTCTTTGAATAATGCTATCGCTCGACATCTTGAACAGGCACCTGCAAAATATGCTTATAGAAAAATAGATATTCGAAGTGTTTATCTTGGAAAAGGACGTCAGGAACTTACGCATGCAACGTTCACTAGTACGTGTCCGAGGCGTTTAGTAATCTGTTTTGTAAACTCCCCAGCATTTACTGGAAATACTGCATTGTCTCCGTTTACTTTTGAACATGCAAATATACGCTCAATTTCGGCAGAATTTGGAGGATTTCAGTTCCCCGTCGTTTCGTATGATCTTGATTTTGCTGATAACAACTTTGTTCGCGCTTATTCTGATATGTATGTAGGTATGGATCTTGATAATTGGCCAAGCACTGACCAAAGAACTCTAGATATCAGCATGAAGGAATTTTCAAAATCATCCTGTTTCTTTGTTATTCCGATGACTTCAACTCTTGAAGATACGAATGGACTAGAATTAATCAGGCAAGGAACAACGACTGTGCGTTGTATTTTCAATCATCCCGTAAAGGATGATGGATATGAAATGATAATTATGGGAGAGTTCGATGCAATACTGTCCATAAATGCAGATCGTGTTTTAAGTACTGACGGATCAGTTTAAAATGAATTCACTTCAAATTGAAAAAATATTATACCGCTACCCTACACTTAAAAATAAATTTTTAGGTGTTTTCTCTTCGAATAATATACCAAACATTGAAAAGAATAGACCTTTTTGTTTTGTTGCAAACACGATGCGTAAAGGTACGGTTGGAGAGCACTGGATTGCCTGCTATTCAGATACTCCAGATACTTTAGAATATTTTGACTCGTTTAGGAACCAAATTGCGATATGCGTCAATCTATGCTTAATCGGTTTTCTAAGGTAAAGCAGAATAAATTTTCATTACAATCACCTCTTTCAGATACCTGCGGACATTTCTGCATATGTTTCCTTATATTGCGATCAAAACATACTTTTTCGTCGACATTGCAAAAAATACATTCAATACCTTCAGAGGGGCGTGATGCTATTTTACGAAATATTGTTCAGAAACTATCATTAGGAATTAGTATATAAGATAAGAAAATTGAGAGTTTTTCATAGTAAACATGCTGCACTCGTTCTTTTTAATTTTATGCCTTTGTGTGGTTTACGCTTATAAGCAAAACGATAGTAATATTCTTTATCCTCTTCATGGACCAATTCCTCCAGATGTAAATGCCTGCTTTATCGTTGATAGGACTCATGCCCTTTCGATAGGTCCTTCAGAAAATCCTAATAAAGATATGTTTCTATTAATAGCGTATGTGCTCGATTTGGTACTAATTTTTGTTTTGGCCGTAGTGTTTAAAGCACATGTAAATTTAAGAAGAAATGGAAACGGCGAACTCCCCGGAATTAGGTTTGCTAAAGGACCCCTTAGTATATAAGTCATTAATAATAAAAACGGAGGATGAACAACATGCGAACAAGCGACGCCTCGATAGAAAAAAGTGAATCTTCCAAAATATCTCCGCCCTTAAAAACGGGTTCGCTTCTTCAGTTACTTTGTAAATTCAATGGAGGATGTAGACCAGAATCTTTGCACATAGCAATGCGAAAAAAATACAAGGAAAATATTCAATTCCTTCAATCACTTACTAGTATGACAAATGAGGATGTTGCCATCAGTGGAATTGGTCAAAAAACATTCTCAGACAACAATATGAAACCAGGAAAGAAATTTATTATAACAAACCATTTAAGACATATTCAGTTCGAAGTATATCCAAGTAAATTGACTAAGATGGGAGCTGATCGTATTTTTGCATTACGAGGATATTTACGTGTAACAATCAGGCAATATTTCTATGTTCGACATCACATAGACATTGTTTATCCACAACTGCCTCTTGTTTGCGTTGTTGGCGGACGACAGCATCAATATTTTTATCCTCTGGAATGTTTGGATTTTGTTGAAGTTGAAGAACAAAAATGAATAGAAATTTATAAAAACTATAAATGATCATTCACATTTTTTGAATAATATTAAAAATGCGTTTTATATTAATTTTTGTTGCACTAGTAGGGCTTGTTAACTGTGAAGATAAAATAATAAAGAGTGAAGAGAATAAAATGTCTTTATTTCGAAGAACGCTCAAACCAAAGACAATTGCGCATACTTTACGTCCTGACTTAACTTCTCATTCTAATTTTACAAATATAACCTTAAAACCGAGTGGTAATGTTTGGTTTGAGTACGATGAGAACGAAAAGGAGTGGAAACAAGTATACAAACCTACTTTTTCAGTAGTGTATTATAAACTAAATATATTCGATTCCGCATGGTCATTTGTTAAAGAAACATGCTATGATATTGTTGTAGCTACCAAATCGCTTGTAATCGGAGTAACGAAGCTAACATTATACTTAGGACGTAGACTAATACCTTTTCCCTAAGAGCTTGTAAGAATGTTAAAATTTTATACTTTAAAATAACATTTTCAAAGGTTTTGATCTAGTATTTTGCTACATAGTCAGTTAGCACTTTTTTATTATAACGATGTTTAATAATTTATATTAAAATTTTAACACATATGTAACTACGTCTGTACTGCTTTGAAATTGTGCTATACCGTCCGATCTGGCAAGTTAAGCAACGTTGGTTTTAAAAACGTCCTTAACCTTTAGATTTTATTTTGAATATTTTAGTTTTTATATTGGGGGTTTTAAAACGTTTTGAAAAAATGTTTTAAAACTCCTATATATACTACTGATATTCAACTTTTTGTTTGTCTAAAAATTTAATTTTATATCCAATTAAATTAATTTCAGTCCAATAACTTGATAAAAGTTTGTCTTTGTAATTTTCTATATTTTCTTTTAATAATTCTTTCTTATTTATTTTTATATCCTCAAAACTTTCTTCTAATATAGATGTTTCATAATAATTATTATTCATAATAAAATTATTATTTAATCGAATCTTAAATATTTTAAATTTGTATTATTGATGGCTTAAATTTCGAATAATTAAATATAAAATACCTGTATTCCCATGTTTTTCAAAAATTACTTAACAATTTCATTATTAGCAATTTCAATCAAAATTCGCGTTTTTAATTGAGAGTTAAATTTTGAACAATGATTTAGTTTAACAACAAAAACTTCATTAACAGTATTTACTTCAAGCTTACAAAACGATCCAGTATTCTTATAAATATAATCAACTATTTTATTTCCATGATTTACATTCATTATCAATACAAAACGTTCCATTATTTGGATATTTTTTAAATAAATAAATTCTCTTTTTTCTTCCCAATCATCTTTTATTTTTATTCCAACTTCAACCATTCTACCGTTGATTTGGATATTCAACAGAACAACCAAATATGAGAGAAGAATAATAATAAATTTATTCATCTTAAATTCTAAAATAAAAATATTTTATAAATTACAAATAAAAGCTATTGAAATTATATTTAAAGTTTAAACTAAAAATTTTATTCAATTTTTAAAATAAAGACATGGGTTCGTTTTGTAATATTCTTACGGGTCTGGTAACAGTTAACAGTAAACAGTTAATTAAATCTATTTGTTTTAATTGATATTTAAATTTATTAATGTTGGTGGATTAAATAAATATTGCTAAATAAAAATATTTATGAGAATTTATAAATCTGGAATATGAATTTATGCTGAATATTTTATTATATTATAAATAATATATAAGATAAAAACACAAACAGTACGTGTAGGCTTAAACATAAATATTCCCAATTTTTAAAGTTTAATTAAATGCTAAGTTTATACACTAAAAACAACGAGTACATACAAATTTTACTGATTGACTTTACTACTATATTACCATTATTAAAGTATTGATCGATTAGAACAAGAGGGCTCTGAAGAGACCGATTATTTGGTTAGAGAAGTCAGAGAAAAAATTTACTCTCTTCCCATATAACCGGTCTCTTCAGGCTCTCTTGTTCTAATCGATCAATACTTTGTTAACCCACTCCTATAGGAGGTTGTGGGGGTTGAATGGAGTAGTGCGGGGGATAAGTAAGGTGAGGGCGATTCTGAAGCGATTCTGAGGGCGATTCTGAAGCGATTCTGAGGGCGATTCTGAAGCGATTCTGAAGTGATTCTGAAGCGATTCTGAGGGCGATTCTGAAGTGGTTCTGAAGCGATTCTGAGGGCGATTCTGAAGGGAAACTGAAGCGATTCTGAAAGGATTCTGTGGCGATTCTGAAGGCGATTCCGAAGTCGATGCTGGGTGATCAAAAGTATTGCATCAGAATCCAAAAGGTATCAAATGTGGCCTGGGGAAATTCTTGACACGGGGGTGGCTGTAGCCTGAAGCGGGGGCCGTGTCGAGTCGGGCCGGCGGGTAATCAATCGATAATTTATTTTTAAAAACTTTTGGCTCTCAGCCACACTGAAACGGCTACTCTGAAACGGCCGCTCTGAAACGGCTACTCTGAAATGGCCGCCCTGAAACCGCTACACTGAAACGACTACTCTGAAACGACTACTATGAAAGGCTACTTTGAACCGGCTATGCTGAAACAGCTACTCTGAAACGGCACTCTAAAACGTCCACTCTGTAATAATTAAGCTGAAACGTCCCTGACCACTATTTTTAGCCGAGTAGAGATTTTTAGCATTTTTGCTGTGAAAAGATTTTAAGGAAATAGTGTTAGAGGGGGCGCGAACAAATCGATAAAAAAATAAAGAGAAATAAAGCCAAACTTGCTCTAAAAAAATCCAATGTATTTGACGTTAGGTTTTAAAAAAATTAAAAAAATTTTTTTAAGAAAAATTTAAAAAATTTTTTTAAGGTAATGTCAAACCCTCCAACAGATTTATATTGGCGGCATGTTAATTTAGTAATTATTAAATTTTAATTTTATTTTTTTCTTGGAATTTTTAGACACATACCCAACTTACTGGAATTCAAGATGGTTGGGTAGTTGAAATTTTTTATTTTAAAAATTATTTTATAGGTTATGGCCCAGAAAAACAATTTTATTTTTCAAGAGTTAGATTTGCAATTACTCCAATTTTAAAAATACAAATGGCTGGGGATTTTTATGATTTGGATAGAGTTTTTAAAAAACCTAAAACTAGTTATTCTTCAAATAATCACTGCTCTGGATTTATAGTACTTGAAGGAAATAAAGACATGTCAGGGAATTTTATGAATTATCTAGCTAAAATTATTTTTTAATAATTCTAAGTTTAATTGGAATATCAGTAGATAATTTAGTTGTAATTAATCTGATTTTTATTTAAAAACATTTGATTTTCATTGCGATTATATCCCGCTTTCTACAACAACCGGGAACTCTAATCCTATGTGTATTTTTTCTTTTCTTTCGGCCCAGTCACGGATATTCTGAAATACCTATACTATGATCTAAGCTGTGCTATTTAAATTTCAGTTCTGAATTATTTAAATTTACTTCTGTTCTTTCTCATTCTAAATATTATTAAAATATATTTTTAATTTTTGACATACAACTTTAAAATATATTTTAAGACAAATGGCCCATGTAACAATGGCTGGTCTAAATACAATGAACAGAATATTGAAACTTTACAAATTTGCCTATGGTTTAATTTATTTTATTTTTTTAATTAAAATTTTTATTTAATATCCAAATAATGTTCCCGGACATACTCGTGCTTTCTCTGGTTATGCAGCTGCTCTTGCATTACAGGATGATTTTACAATAACTAGTGCTGGATTGGTTCGTTTATATTAAATCATCTGATATAAAATAATATTTAAATTAGCTTTCAATGGAGATAACAATAACTCTCGGAAATGAATCTATTTATTCTAATGTAAAACCAAAAGGTCAACTTCATTGCTGGGTTAGGTCATTTATTGCTGATTTATTGGCAAGTACATCAAAGGATTGGATAACTATTTTTGGATTGTAATTTTTTTTTACTTAAATTTTTGCTTTTTGCTATAAAAATAAATTTTATGCGAATACTTTAATTATTTTAGTCACAATTCTCGAACATACAACAATCAATGGATGGTAAGTTTATTTTTGTAATTTCGTCTTAACTTTAAGTTAACCAATCTCACTTTAAAATACAAATTTTTCTCTAATCTGGTTCAGTCTCCATAATTTAAAATTCAATTATATAAACTCGCTTGATGATAATTTTTTCTTCCTAAGGATGATGAAAATAGAAATCCAAATATATTTTTTAACAAAATTCTATTTTATCATATTTTTAGGCAAGATCTGAACCAATAAAAATTAAATTCAATATGGAAGAATATGATTTTGTTATTCAAGCTGTTTTGCTAATTCTATGCAAAATTACTGGTAAAAAACAATTTATTTAAAAAAATCATTGTACAATAAAAATTTCATTTTAAGATGTAAAGAAGATTGAACATAAACCGAGATTGATGATGCCTTTTGATAGAGGAAAGGTAGAACAATTAAAATTATCAAATTTAATTTTTTGTAAATTTTCTTACAAGTTTTAAAATTTTTTAAACATTCACATCGGCAAAAATTAATTAAAACTTTTTTGCCAAAGTAAAAAAAAAACAGTAAGACTCTTAAGTTAAAAAAATTTTTTTTTAATTAATTTTCTAAATTTTTCTTTTTGTTGAACAATAAAAGATCGTTTATTTGATAACTATAAATAAATTCCTAAAACCGAGCAAAAAATCTTCACTTAGTTAATTTAAATTCCTTTACAGCATTGTTTTCACTACCACTCGTCATTTCATTAAGCATAGGTTAAGCTATACAAAAGATATCAATGTAAGCGATCTTTTGTTCGTATAAAAAAATAGGCGTATTTGCTGCAGTCCCCAACTCATTATTCACTAGTTTCATTTTAAAAATTAATTTAGCTAAAAAATTTAATTAAATAAAACAACTTTTAGTTAAGTTTTATATTAATTTAGTGTTAAATTACCTATATTCAATTTTTAAATTTAGAAAAAAATGTCTTCAAATTCTTCTTCTGCTTCCCGAAAAAGGAAGAAATCACCAATAACTCAAGTCCGTCCAATTACTAATCAGTTGCATCAAAATATTCCGCAGCAACAACAACAACAACAAATACAAAGTCCCAATTTTCGGGGCTATACAATACCAAAAGTAACTAATGCTAATGTTCCTCAACAACAACAACAATTAAGTCCACAAGAAACGGAGGCATTACAAGCAAAACAGGCGTTAGCAGATGAGGTAGATTTTAAAATAAAATTTTATTTAAAAATTAATTTATTAATAAATTAATCAGATAGCCGAAAAACGACGATTGCGTGAAACTACCAGACCAGCAAATCTACATCTATTAACACTAATTGATCCAATTACAAATTTGACGAGTACTGACGTATTAATGCTAGCATGGAAAAAGAATGATATATTTGAGTGAGTTTTTTGGGGGAAGGGGGGGGGGGGTAAATCTTAAAAAAAAAATAAATTTAAGAGAGTTAAAAGGCTTAGTGGTATTTGTGAAGCGTGCGTTAACAACAAAAAATAAATACGACAGGGGAGATCTTGTAGTGGAGGTCGGACAGACTCACGAGAAAGAGCGCATTTCAATTTTCGGCTGGAACGAGCAGGCATCGAAATTGGAGACAGCAAATATTAATGATGTAATTTAATTAATTTTCTTATAAATTTTAAATGTTTGTTAATTATAGATAGTGGTGTTAAAAAACTTGATCGTTGTACCTGAGGACAATGAAAGAGTAAACTGGGCAGGATCGATAGATTTCAAATTAAAATTTTCAAAAAGCTCAACTTTAACAATTGTAGAACAAGGGCAAATTGCGGCGTCTCAGCAGACTACAAATATGATAGGTAGTTAAAAATTTTAATTGTGTTTTTCGAAAAAAAATCTGAGTGAATAAGCGAAAATTTTATTTAAATTTTTATTTTAAAAAATTGTATTTAAATTTTTTTAAAAAAATATTATTTAGAGGAAGGTCCTTCAACATCTGCAGCAAATCAAAATCCTCATGTTGGTAATGTGCAGAACTCTTCTTATGCCAGCAATACAACTGCTGCTATTGACAGAGATGTCGAATATGTGAGTATTTATAAATCCTATGGTTTAACGTTTTACATGTACCGTTTGAATTAGAACTTTATTTAAAAAATACAACATTAAAATTGAATTGTTATTAATTTAAAATTTAATAAAAAAACTTTTATTACAATTTTCAAGGATTTTGAAGATTTATGATTTGCTTATTTACTAAAAAGAAGAAAAGAACAAGTTAAAATTGAATTTATTTAGAAATTAAAATTAAATTGAATGAAACTTATTAAAATTTTTTCATTAATCTTTAACTTTCGATTAATTTGCTTTTATGTTTGCAAAAATAAAAATTGTACGTTTGTCTATTATTTGAACTGAAATAGAAATTTGAAAAAAAATTTTTAAAAATTAAAAAAATTGTTTTGAGAAAATTTTTTTTTGAAATAATTTATTAAGTAATATGAAATACAGATTCGAAAAAAATTTATAAATTGTTTGAAAATTTTTTTTTAATTTTTGTAAAAATTTGATTTTGTTTAGTAATTAAAATGAAATATAGATGTGAAAAAAATCTTTAAAAAATTTGAAACCTGCTTGAAAAAAGTTTTTTGAATTTGCTTATTAACTTAATGAAATAGAGATTTGAAAAAAATTAAATAAATTTTTCAAATGATTTGAAAAAAATTTGTTATACTGAAAAAAATTAAAAAAAATTTTTTAAACTGAAAAAAAATTTTTTTAAAAATTTTTTAAACTGAAAAAAAATTTTTTTTAAAAATTTTTAAACTGAAAAAAAATTTTTTAAATAAAAGTTTTTAAAAATGATTTGAAAAAAATTTGTAACTTGCTTGGAAAAAAATTTGTTTGAATTTGTCTATTAACTAAATGAAATAGAGATTGGAAAAAAAATTTAAAAAATTTTGTTAATCATTTGAAAAAAAATTTTTTAATTGTGAAAAAATTTGAGATTGTTTATTATTTAAAATGAAATTGAAAAAAGGATTTGAAAAAAATCTAAAAAAATGAAACTGTTTATTATTAAAAATGAATCAAAATTTGAAAAAAAAGCTTTAAAATATTTAAAAATTTTTATAGTATTTTGATAAAATAAAACTTGGTTTTGAATTAAATATATCATGATAAAAATATTTATTTTCATTTTTGTCTAAAATAAAAATTTTATATTTTATGAAATGGAATTTGATTATTCTTTTTAGTTTTTTAAAAAATAAAATTTTATTTCTGAATGTGTATTATTTAAAATGAAATAGAAATTTGAAAAAGGAAAAAAATCTAAAAAAATTTTAAACATTGATTAGAAAAATTTTTTAAAAATTTTGAAAAAATAATTTGAAATTGTTATCATTTAAGATGGAATAGAAATTTAAAAAAAAAAGCTTAAAATTTTTTTATAAGTTTTATTGGTATTTAGATAAAATAAAACTGAATTTTGAATTGGCATGAAATTGAATTTAAAAATTGAATTTACATTTATATGAACAAATATTCTAGTATCTTGTTTAAATTTTGTTTTTGTTTAAAATTGAATAAGCTTAATGATAACGAATTATTATAAATACAATGATATTATTGTTTTCACAATAATTTTTTAATGAAATTTTTTCAAATGATATCACTAAATTAGAATAAAAATTCGAATTTAATCAAAAGAAATCAAACGGTACATGATATTCAAAATTTTAGGGGGATTTTAATTAATCATTAGTATTTACTTTTTTAATTATTCTGACAGGGATACGTGAAAAACAAGCGTTAGATAGTCTTACCTACTCTCTAAAATAAATACTCACTAGCTTTTTTTTTTAAAAAAAAAAGCTAGGGGGCCTTTTTTTGTAGGAAGTAGTGTCACCTTCTTCTGAATTGGCACAGGAGTCGCTTCATGCCGAATCAAATCCACAAGTAAATTTTATTCTTTTTTTTTTATTATTTTTTAACAAAAAATATAATAGAGATTATATGGTAATCCTGGACATACTCCCCCAGCTCCAGGAATTGTAAGTTATGTAGTACCACCAGACGATCCTGATGCAATTTATTTTCGCGGAGAACGCAGCATTCATGATATTGATTTACCAAAAAAAGGACTCAATGGTAAAGAGCGAAATATATTATTAGCCTCCCGTGTGCAACTGGCAGCAACATATAAATCTAAAGAAGAGGATCCTCTTTGCGGAGTATGTGTACGTGACTTTATGCCGAAACAAAGCGTAATTTTTTTACCATGTTCCCATAAATTGCACAAAACGTGTTTTTGGGATTTATCCCGTTTTTATAGACATTGTCCTACTTGTAAATACGATATGGGTCGGGGCCTACAAATTCCAGAGTAGGGTAAAACTGATTTTTAGTCAATTAAATTATAAAATGAGAGTAGAACATTAAAAATTAGAAAGTTCTCATTTTGCAATTTAATTGACTAAAAATCTTTTGTGCCCTACTCTGGAATTTGGAGGCTATACACGTCGGATTACTTGTCTAGCACGTGTACAAAAAAAATTTTTTTTTGAAAATTTGATATTTTGGACACGTACTAAGTACACAAGTACCCCGACGTGTAACAGTGTCCCCACACGTCAAAGACGTCAAGTTTTTTTCTGAGTGGGTTCTTTGACGTGCGGGGCAATTTTTTGTATTCTTTATATAATTAATAATAATAACCACACCCCAATTAAAAAATATAATGAGTATTTTTTATATAATTAATAATAATAGCAGCACCACAATTCGTAAAAAATCAATGAGTATTTTTTTGCAAAAAATGACTAAATTTGTAAAACTTTATAAAAATTGAGTTGAATATAATATTAATAAAAAATAGAATTAAGTCATTTTCTAATTTAAAATTTAATTTTTAATTACCACTTAAACTTTGGTATTGATATTATGTGTACATAAATCTAAATACTATCATTCTAATTTTAAAATCTATTTTGTTAAGCAATTTTTTCCCTGCCTTTTTTAAATTATTTTTTAAAATAATCTTTACTAAAATTATTTATTAATGGCAATAAATTTGTTTGACAATGAAATAATTTTGTTTGGCAAGTGCTATATATTTTGAGTCTGGCACTCAGTTTAATTTTTGTTTGTCCTATTGTTTGATTGCTTCTGTTTCTTTATAATTTTCTGAAATATTCTTTATTATTCTGAAGAAATCATAAATTACACTGAGACTCAAAATAAATAGTACTTGAAAAAAAATAATTTCCTTGCCAAACAAATTTATTTTCTTTATTAATTATGCCTTTATTAAACTTATATGCTATTTTGCCTTTTGTAAAATTTTTTTTTTGAGTATATTTAAAACCAACATATCTCTAATTATTTTTTTTAGGTATTTTTTTTAAAATTAGAGATATGTTTTATAATATTTTCAATAATTATATAATTTTCAATTTATTATGAATAAATTTTTTTTTATTATTCCTTTATTAAATTTTTAAGTTGAATTTATTAGGTTTGTAGTTTATTATGTATGGTTGTTGTTCTCGTCTGCATCTTTCAAATTCCAATCTTGTTTTAGTGTTTATATGGTGTAATATCTATACTAATATTATAGAATATCATTGACTGTTTTATAAAGGATATTAATTTTCGGTTCCTACTTAAGATCTCGTTTACTGCTAATAGTTGTAGGCGGCTTACTAAAATTAAATTTGTTAATTATAGTAGACTATATTTATTCATATTTAGATTGAAAACATGAGAAACTACTTTGTTATTGAAAGAATAGAGCCATTTGCATCTCAATCACGAAATACTCGTGGTGAGATCGCCCACATCAGATTTAATAATTTGGCCGATCATCCCCGACCTGACTTGGCTCTAACAACACTTATTGAACAACTTTTGGATCGGGTGCTCACCGGAAGACCAGCGCCTCTCCGCGTTGGTCTTCAGGTGCAGCCACCAAATTTCCACCACCCGTTTACCGTGCCACTCAGACCGGTACAGCAAAATAATGCAGCAGCATTAGCCACAGCGATTGAGAGATTGAACGAAATATCCCAAGCTGGGATAGACCTTCTCTCAGGGACAACAACAACAAAAGTAGTAGCTGTTTGGCCTTTGACTGGCCAACGCACTAATAATCCAGCAGCATATTCGGGTAGGTTCATACTAGTCTTACATTTCTCAAATAAATGTAAGGCAGTCATGTTCCTACAGGTAGTTGCGATCTGGATCAAGATCATGCAGTGTCTTCCCGATGTCGTTCAATTGTGCGCGTTCGCAATCCAAACGACCGCTACTGCCTTGCTCGAGCAGTAGTTATTGGACTCACGAAAATTCGGCTTGTTGATCAAGGCGATGCTAATAATGGATCAGCTCATTTTAGAGCTTTTTGTCAACAACAAGAACAACATTTG